ACAGTTTGGTAGAAGCCATCAGCTCCCAACATGACTCCCTGGGAGAGCCAGAGACGCGTGCCTGGTTGTGGGCATCTTTCTGGGGATGACTGATGTGATGGCTGAGAAGGGGCAGGGACAAGGGGAGGGAAGACGATGGCAGGAGGGGTGTGAGGAGGTGAGAATCTTCTTCTGGGCTGAGGGAGGGGTCTGCACTTTCTTCCGTGTTCCATGGGGCCAGGTACCACCAGGCACTGTAGCATCACCTACGCTGGTGTCAGGGACAGAACCTGCGTGAAGGGTCAACGTGAGGACTGCGCTCCTCAGTTTGACTGCAATTCCGGGACCTGGACACTCAACCTCCTCCCCTCTGGGCAGCTCGGATCTGCTCGTCCGATGCGGACCAAACATGGTGGATGCCATCAGGTCCAAGGGGTGGGGCGTGTTCCCCAGGATCCACTCTGCACTCCTGTGACTCAGAGGCTGGGTGCACCTGGCCCAGGTGAGGGGACTCCCCCAGCCTTGTGCACACTTGGCAAGGTCTGTGGGTCTGTTGGGTTCCCAGGGGGACTCCAGGAATCTCACTTACCTGGACACGGCCTGTTAGTGATGCCTTGGGCTGGAAGTGCTCCACCCCCCCCAGGGTGTGGTTTCTGGCCACTGGGGATCCCATCTGCCCTGACCTTGTGTGACCTTCAGTTCCAGGCAAACCTGACTGGCTCACCTCAGCCGCAGCCATGCCTACTGCTGGGCTTCACCACTTTGGGGTCCTGCTGCTCTCAGGGGGCAAGAAGCTGGTCCGCGCATGGGTGAGGGTGAGGGCTTGCAGCTACAGCTGGCAGAGGGCCAGAAGGGTGTATTCTGGGGTGGTGTACAGTCATGTGTGAACCACCACTTGATCTTGACTTAAACAGTCTCACAGTGGCAAGGTGACTGTTACGGATTGAACTGTGTCTCCCAAAATGTGTCACCTTGGCTAGTCCATGATTCCCAGTATTGTGTGGTTGTTCTCCTTTTTGAGATATGATGTGATTTTCCTGTGTTCTAAATCCTAATCTCTGTGATATCAGTGAGGCAGGATTAGAGGCGGTAATGTTAATGAGGCAGGACTCAATCTACAGGATTAGGTTGTATCTTGAGTCAATCTCTTTTCAGATATAAAAGAGAGAAGTGAACAGAGAGGAGAGGGACCTCATTACCACCAGGCAAGAAGTCAGGAGCGGAGTGCATCCTTTGGACCTGGGATCCCTGTGCTGAGAAACTCTTAGACCAGGGGAAGATTGATGACAAAGACCTTCCCCCAGAGCTGACAGAAAGAGAAGGCCTCCCCTGGAGCTGGTGCCCTAAATTTGGACTTCTAACCTCCTAAACTGTGAGAATAAATTTCTGTTTGTTAAAGCTGTCCACTTGTGGTATTTCTGTTACAGCAGCTCTAGATAACTAAGACAGTGACCTTGTTTGGAAATAGAGCTTTTCTTTATTATGTTAATGAGGCCACATAAGTGTAGGTTGGGTCCCACACCTAATCACTTCTGAGTGGTGCCTTATAAAAAGAGCTGAATGGACATTGGCATACACACACAGGGAAGACAGACGTCATGTGAAGCTGCAGCTACAAGCCCAGTAACGCCAAGAATTGCCGGCAGCTACTAACAGCTGAAAGAGACAAAGGAGGATCTTCCCCTAGAGCTGACACCCTAAGTTTGGACTCCCAGCCTCCAGAACTGTGAGAAAAAAAAAAATTCTGTTCTTTAAAGTCACTCAGTTGTGGTATTTTTTTCTAAGGCAGCACGACGTTACTAAGACATCATCACGTCTCTCTATCATCTCTCTGCGCCTCTCTTTCTCTCTCCACACACACACTAACTATACTCACGCAGATCATTAAACTTTCTTAAAGACACTGTGGCACTCAGTCTGGGGATAGAGGGAGAGTTCCAGTAGCCAAGTTCTCAGCCCTAAGGCTGACTAGAAGGGGTGGATTTTGTGGCTGAGACGTCCAGTCTTGGATATGCACTAGAGGCAGTACCTACTCCTTCAAGCAGAAGGCTGTGAAGGCTCAGCCTAGGTTGACACAGAGTTCCAAGGGAGTCCTGGGGATGTGGGGGTCGCGATCAGTCCTAGGGGCTGAAGACCCATGACGGGCCTGGACATGCGAACCGGCTGGGTGTGGCCTGCAGAAGGGTCTGTGAGTGGGAGAGAGACAGGCAGGGGCGCGGGGCAGTGGGCGGTTCACAAGCTTTTATTGGAGGGACGGGGGCCACAGTCTGACTGCAGGTGAGGATGCCTCAGGCCAGGTGATGAGGGGCAGGACCCAGAGGAGCCGGTGACAGTGTGGGAGGCAGGGTGCACGCCGAGGGCAGATGGACTCGGGAGGCAGCGTCCTGCCTGGCCGCGCCGTGCAGCGGGGAGGGCGAGAGGGCACTAGACCAGCGGGTGGGGGCTGTCGGTGAGAGGCGGGGACGCTGGAGGGCTGTGCCTGAGGGGTCTGGTGGGGGCGCGGAGGCAGTGAAGAGGTATGGAGGGAAGGGAGTGGACAGAATGGGGGTAGGGGGAGTCGCCGGGGGACCCCAGGGTAGGGGCCAGGATTTGGGAGTGGAAGCGCGGGGCGCAGGGGCGTCGCTCCCCCGTGCACGGAGGACCGCCGCCACGCAGAGAGAAACCGGGTCTGCAGGTGGCCCGGGGCCCTTCTCTGCGCGACCTTTAGCACCATAGACGGGACGTTGGAGGCCCGTGGGGCTGGGTCGCCATGTGGCGTCCGTTCCCTGGGCGGGACCTTGGCGGGGGCGCGCGGACCTGGGCGGGGGCGAGGCTAACAGATCCAGCGGATGAACCTGTCAAAGAAGCCGGGCTGCACCAGGCTGTCGTAGTCCTTCTCGCGGAAGATGGCAGACGTGTCGCCCAGGCTGATTTTGGAGAGCACGTCCATGTTGACGTCGCTGCCCACGGCCACCACAGTGGGCACCACGTTCTGCTTGCGCATGGAGTGCACCGACTCCTCCAGGCTCTCGTTCCCCGTGACGCCGTCGGTGAGGAAGACGAAGGCGAGCTCGGCGTGGCGCCGCGCCCCGCCCTGCGCCCCGCGAACCACCGTGTTGATGGCGTGCACGATGCCGCTGCCCACGTGCGAGAAGGAGTTGAGGTAGCGCGCGTCCTCCAGCCCCTCGTGGATGACCGTCAGGTTGGCGGTCAGCGGGAAGGCCACCCGCTGCTCCTGAGGGCCGCCGTACTGCAGCAGCGCCAGGCGGGCGTTGAGCGGGTCGTCGTCCCGGCGCGCCAGGGTCAGTCGCCTGGACACCTCCTCCACGAAGCGCCGAGCCTTGAGGAAGTTCTGCTCGCCCAGCCGCTCCGAGCCGTCCAGCAGGAAGACGATGTCCACAGGCCGCTGCGTGCACTGGGCCACGTACAGCTCTGGAGGGGGGAGACGCGCAGTGGGGCCCGGGCGGGGGCGCCACGGGAGATGGAGCCCCGAGTCGGCCGAGGTTTGCGGGGGAGAGCCAGAGGCCAGTACCCCAGGTGACACACCACTCTGAGACCCGGTAACCAACCAGGATGATGCCCTGCTCTGTCCAAGACCTGGCACCCAGGACCCTCAGGTGATGCCACACCGTGACTATGACCAGGTACCTAAGATCCCCAGGTGACACCTGGTCTGGCCGCGACCTGGCACCCAGGACTCCCAGGTGACATCCGCTATGGCTGAGACCCAATACATAAGACCCCCATGTAACTCCCTGCTCCTTCTGAGACCTGGCACCCAGGACCCCCAGGTG